TAGCCCGCTGCAAGTCTGGTGATATCAGTACTTATCGATTTTCAAGGACATTTTGTACGCTGAAATCGATACGCGAAAGCAAAGTGACCAGGTGGCATACACCAAATACGACAATCTCGGGCCACCGCCATTGGACCGGTGTGGTCATGGGTCCGCAAGGCATATGCACGAATTGGCAGAGATGTTTTATGTATTTCGTCATTGGAGCTGATGTTGCAGACAAAGGTTTGCTGCTCAACATACCGTATACGTTACGTTGATCCAGAACGTCCGGATTCTTATCGGAAAATCATATAGAATATCACGCCGGCAAAAGTATGACGATAACAGATATGTTTATGATACCAGAACAGTGAATGCAGTATGTAACAGAAAGCAATATTACCATTAAGTTATCTTTCTGTTTGAAGAGCGCTGGTGTATACGTACCTGTTACAGTGAAGATTCTGCCCTGGGTCCCGCGTCCTAAAAACGGCATTTGATCCATTACCCTGTGCGTTTTTATAAGCGTAATCTACGAGTTAAAAGCCTTCTCTGTGCAAGGTATCACGGTAACTTCGTCGAAGTTTCAGCAAAATGATTGCTAAATTAGATTTTAAACTGATTACAAGCTGGTACAACTAATTTAAATCGTTGTTCTGAAGTCCAAGCTCAGCGTCAATCATTGAAATACTAGCCCTTAACTTTTATGAGCGAGTTTGCACAGCTGCATCGCAAATTATCAAGCGGACAGTTACGGTCCGCACAACATAAACTTTAAATTCAAATTTCTGCCTTTACTCGATACTGTTACGCTATGTGGCACACACAAATTTGATTACAAATGAGTTCTGACCAATCCAGACAGAGCCCCTGATCGATTGGTCGAGCGCTTCGCTAGCTGTTGCCATGTTTTTAATTCCATCCCATTATTTCCATCGAAGAAGCGAATAAAGGTTTGCGCAATTACATGCCAGAATGGTGCACACTCTAATTCTTAAACAATGTCGTAATCGTCCAGATGTCAAGCGATACTCTTACGTGGCTGCTGACCAAAAATACCTCGTCCTTCCTTTTGAGGCGCAATGGTAACGAATTCGCGCGCGAAAAGTTCAACTTGATGAACCGTAATTGCCGCAAGTACTCGGGTTTGGCATCTACCAAGGCTGTCGATATCTCACTGGCTGATACGAAAGTGACGCTGACTACGAAAATTAAAAAGGCCTACAAGAAGCCTATTAAGGCTGAGAACGTCATGCTGCTCCGTAAGGGTGCTCGCGGTGGTGCAAACACCATTCGCGCTAACATTTCACGCAACTACTATCGCCGCGATTTGAAGAAGGCTGCTCTAGCCAAGTGGTCGCGTTTGTCTACGATCGCAAAGGTCGAGAAGGGTATGTTAAATCTTAGTCCGTAGCACTGTTTTTTGCAATATTGAGATGCGTAACATTGTATTTAATGATATTTACAGGTATTCTCCAGAAAAAAGTTATTCGCAGCCGTCGCGTCAAGGCTTAAGTCAGTCGATTTGTCTTTTGTCGCTGCTCTAGCGGTAATTCTTGTTGGAAATTGTAGAAGTGCAGGTCTGCAACCAGAATTTGTGCTTCCGTATAATGGACGAGCTTTTAAAGGGTTTCAAATCGTATTCGTGCTTCTTGTCTAAAGATTCCGTTAATTGAACGTCAATGTAAACTGACGCCACCAGTCGCAGACCAAGAGTCACACCTATGCCGTTCTTGCGTTCGCTGAAGAACGACCGTAGTTACAAGCTATGCAGCTCCAAGACTTTAATAGGCTCAGAGGATTCGACCTGTGACTTTGTTATTTCAGACGATAACGTTCTAGAACTGCACGCTTTGCTTTATATATCAATAGGCAAGGCGTCGGCAAAGCTAATCCCACTTTCTACAGCGCAGACTGGAGTCTGCTACGTCAATGACGTTGTCGTACGCGAAGATGGAGCAGTGATTGTGCATGGCGATCGATTGTCATTTGGAGACGCAAACAACGCTTTTGTGTTTGAAATCACGCCTCATTCAGAAGAGACGGCGAATCCGCAGCAATTGCTTGAAAAGAAGAAATCAAAACAGTTTTTAGCTGACCAAACCAGGGATAACCATACCTTACAAAAAGCGGTCAATGCATTGCGTCGTGATCGCAACCTTCCCAATATATCTGCTGGTACGTTGATTCAAAGCAACTTGCAGAGGGCACCTAAACAAAATTGCAGCAGCAAAGTTACTTTTGCTGACCCGTCTTCATTGCTTGAGGAACAGCTAAGCCGATACTTGTTAGAGGCATCAACTGACTCTTTACTTAACGAGTATGTCGAACGCAAATTGAGTCAACGTAAAAATGGGCACTCCTTAATCGAAAACATTGATCAGAGTGGTAGCTTAGGTGTCCGACAATCACGACAGATGCAAAACATTGCCGAATTGGATAAATTGCAGCTTATACGAGACGTCAATGATGTGAGTCGAATTAACATGAAAACATATTGTTTTACTCAGCCTTACTATTTGTAGGTCTTAAATGGAGATATTCAATTCCAAGACAGCTACTTGTTACCACCTGCAACAAGTGAAAGAGACAACCCACCTCAAACATTCGAAACTTTTAGCGTTTCACATAATGACGATGATGTTGCCACTGATGACAACGAAAAGGATGAAGAGGACGACGCGCTACCGGATATGATGGAGAAGGCATCTAGCGACATGATAACAATGCAAAAGCCTATGAAGCTCCCAGCCTCAGTTCAAACGGAGCCCTCAAATAAGGATTTACGCGAACAGGAAAATGATCGTTTAGACCACTCATTTGAGAGCGTTGTAGACTCTGAGATTTCTCGTTTGAAACATCATCTTGATAGTCCAGGCCGATCGTACAACACGCCAGTAGCTCGTAACTTCACGTCGAAGGCGATTGAGCTTGGAGTTAATGACATGACCCGCCCCATTAATACAGATAGACAAGAAGCGGTAAAAATCGCGCTGCGCGAAACTAATGCTGGTGAAATCACACGCCACATGACGAACGAATATATGGATAACTTTATTGTGCGATGGAAACGAGGTCTTCTAATCCAAAGCCAAAACCGCCAGCGTAGAGCTCGACAGATTGCACAAGCAGGTGCAACATTCGAAAGACTGCATCGTGACCAGTCGTTTAATCGCTGGCGAGCACTTGCTTTTCTAAACAGCCAAGTGATGTCTTGTCGGATGGGTGCATTTCAGCTGCGATCACAGCGTCGATTACTTCGAATGTGCTGGCTAGCTTTCTGCAGATTTTACTTTTCTACCAGGCTGCGATCAATACTATTGCGAGGTCTGGCTAAAAGAAAAGTGATGGTGAAGAAATATGGAGCATTTCAAGTGTGGCGATACTTCGCTCAAAATTGCTTAACCCGCGATCAGCTACACGAAATCCAGTGTTCCATACAAAAAAGGCTCGATGTATATCTAATGCGAATGTCGGAGCTTTACTGCAGCAAACAGACTGTACAGCCAATGCTTGCTCAAATTTTGCGAAAGTGGCGAAATGAAGCACGTTGTCACGAGAAGCAGCTACGAACTTTGCGAAAAGTGCTGCTGCATACTTTTGCAACACAAGTTCGACATGCTTGGACGAGGTGGACGAGATATGCATTGACTTTGAAACTAATCACAAACGAAAAAAGAAAGACAGAGGAGTACATTCAACAGATTTCTGACCGTCTAACATTCCAACATGATCAATTGCTGTCAACCTTGCGAGAAAGAAGTGCTCACCAATTTCAGAAACTCACGCTTGCCATAGCTAGAAAAGATCGAGAGCTAGAGGTACTGAAGCGACAACAAGTCGCAGAAGATCTTCAAGAGGTGAAAAAAAGCATCATCCTTCTTATTATCATATGGCTGACTAAACATTTATACTAGCCGAAATGGGAACACGATCTTCGCAAATTTCTTGAGAACGCAATTATCAAAGTCAGCACGTTTTCTGTACTTGTTTCATAGACGTATACGCTACTGCCGTCTCACATTCCGAGCTTGTGTCGTATGTTTAATAGTGCGATGAGCAAATTAGGCGAGCAAGTGATAGACTTGAAATTCTACTTCAGAGTGCTGATAATGATGTATACAGTGCACGCTTTGGTGCTTCCCAGGCAAGTCAATCTGCAGTAGGCATAGTCATCTTTTCTTACTCTTTTGTGATGTCCCAGATTCTTGTCAACTGCACAATTCAGCAGAAAGCTGACAACGCCAACGAGCGTATCCGACTTCACGAAGCGCTTTCATCGTACCTTATACATTCCAAACATTCGGCTGAAATTGTTGCCCTGGATCTATCTCCCAATTGTCGCTTCTTGTACGACATGATCCAACAGGTAATTGCTTTTATCATGTTTCGCTCATTTCCACTATATCATAATGCCTTTCTCGGTCTTTCAGCGCCTCAAACGTCTTCAGCAGCTTCATCACTCATTAGCGAAACTTGCTGCGATCTCCGGTTTGACCGACGTCTCTCTTGATCCTGAGCGTCTCTCCCACAGCATCTTTCTAGCTAATCTATTATATCAGCGTCAGCAAACACATCTCAATACCATTCTACTGCAGTTCTATAAGATTCAACCATCAAAACCAGCAGCGCGCGCCTAAAAATCCAGTAGCAGCTGTGCCAATATTTGTTCCACGTGCTGCGGCTCTGCCTGTTCGCTGTCATCCACCATAGCTTCCGTCTGTGCGCGACGACAGGCTTCTATTACAAAAAGCCGCAGCGTTTCGGCGCTGAGCATCACGGCGTCTAGGTGGATCTTGCGCACACGTGCGGCGGCAGCCGCCGCACTGACAAATGGGGCAGAGTCGGTCGATCTTTCATCTTCGCTGCAGTTGCTCTCAAAACTTCCAGCTGCACTCTTCGCATTGATTACCCACGTATATTGAAAAAGCTGCTCCACCAGCGTTGGCTTAAAAGTTGGCGGTGCCATTTTTAGTTGCTAATTTTTTATACTTGTAGTACTATACTTCATTTGTGTCTCGATGGCACAGATCCGCAAGCACATTTTAATTATTGGTTCCGTAAATGCTGACATCGTCGTAGAAATCAGTCGTCCACCCGTGCGTGGCGAGACACTATCCGCATCTAAGGCAGCCACAGGCGTATTTGTTCCAGGCGGAAAGGGAAGTAATCAAGCAGCAGCTGCCGGCAAAATCATCGGCGCCAATCACCCAACGCTGTGCGTCAAATTTGCGGGCCAATTTGGCAACGATACGCATGGAGAGAAGCTTAAGAATGCATTGGAAAGTGCTGGCGTTGATACTGCTCTGGCAAGTCACCCGGCCTGTCCATCGGGCCAGGCTTTCGTTTTTGTCTACCCAGACGGTGACAACTCGATTGTCATAGTAGGAGGCGCCAATCGCGCGTGGCCTGACAAGCTTTCCACCGACTTACTCAATGCTATTAAGTTGGCAGCTATCGTCTTGCTACAGTGCGAGATTCCAGTGCACATAAACGCACTCGTTGCTAAGACGGCTGCTGATTTCAACGTCCCTGTCATGTGGGACACGGGGGGTGATGACATTTTGATTCCGGATGATATCCTACCGCTTTTGACGTACGTATGTCCTAATGAGACGGAACTGGCACGTTTGGCCAAGCGTAATGTGAATAATATTGATGATGCAATTGCCGCTGCGCGATATCTTCAAAAACAAGGCGCAAAGAATGTATTAGTCACTCTGGGCTCGGACGGCTCTGTAATGGTTCCTGTTCATCACTCGAAGATCGTGCATCAGAAATCTTTTACAGCTCTAAAAGTTGTTGACACTACGGGGGCCGGAGACTGCTATCGTGGAGCCTTCGCCGTCGCACTCGCTGAAGGTCGAGATGTGCAAGAGTGTATGATCCGTGCCACTGCTGCCAGTGCTTTGTGTGTGCAGCGCTTTGGTGCACTCACTAGTTTGCCAACTGGTGATGAAATTGAAGTATTTCTCAGGGAAAACAGTCAATAGACTCTTGACGAGATCGTATTTTTCGTCAGTCGCTAGCCAAGTGGCGCCGGCAATGCGATCGTTAAAAGCATATAAAAATTCAATCGTATCACTAGCAACCCACCTCGCTCTACTAACCAATTTAGCTGGTCTCGCCCTTTATTGTTAAATGCACTTATGCGTCAATCGTAAACTCAGAATCGAGTAACATAAGCGGTGTGCTTCACTTTAGTCTTATCCTCCGCTTGGTTTGTGTGTTTAACTTGCTACTTCAGCTCACATGCCGTTGTATGAATTTTCAGATTGAACATCTTTTTGAGCAAAGAGAAACTGTATTTGTCGTCCCTACGATTAATTCCAATTCATATAAAATTACTAATCCACTGCCACACAGAATGAGCGAGAATGTAAGGCCTGAAAAGCAGGCATAAGAAGATGTGATTTTTGCCATAACTCCCATAATCAAGCTGATATTGGGATCTGGCACATGGCACAATATGGCATCTTTTAGAAGGTAATAGATTTTTCAGAGGACATCGTATTGTTTGGCTTGAAAAATGCCGACGAGGGAGAGGCTGCTTGCTGTCCGATTGGAGTCTTTCTATTTCAAACTGAGAAATCTGACTTGATCAAGGTAGAGTTAGCGAAGGGTGTAGCCAATCCGCCCGCAAAATATCCAAGCACCTTAACCTGTCCCTTCATATCACCCCAAGCATAATTAAACATCGTCGTATGGTTGAGTTACAGGATTGCTTTCTGGACACAAAAATCTTTTGTCTGGTACACATCGTCCTAACTTCTGTGATCATTTTCAACCTGATTGACTGAATATCCACTTCAAATTATTGTCATCTGAGCACGATAAGTATCCAGAACGTGGGAATTGAATTTCCCTGTTTACATCGTGTAGGCAACACAGGAGGAGATAGATTATCTGCAGCACCATCATAATTATTTTGCTCAGCTTGAACAACAGCAAGACTAAGCTTCATTGCAAATTGGTATCACGTAATCCTGGTCCTGTAATGACAGTGTCTGGAATAGATTGCGAACCCAAAACCTTGAGAGTAAGTTATCAATACGTATTCGATTCCTCAGCTAGAGTCTGTACAGCTCTTTTCTCCTGAGATTGCAGTGTGATCATGACAATATTACATTCTTTGCGCAACGGGCACACTGCGGAAGGCACTTGAACAGGATGTTTAGACTTCATATATGTTATCAGTGACGTTTGTTTGTCCAGCATCCACTGAAGCACGCAAGCCATCAATTGGTATCTTTTGGAGACTAACTCTTTATCTCGACGATCAAATTTACCTGCACTTGAAGATGCACCAAGAAAGCTTTCACTACTTTCAAAAATGTTTATCATTCAGTTCTTTTGTGATCAATTTAATGACAAGGTCAACTTGGTGAGGAAGACAACAGACCAGGAGGATTTATTTGCTGCAGCTTTTTCCAATCGATTGACGGCACCAGGATTTCGTCCGGTCATTGTGTTTCCTCCATCAAAACTAACGAAGAGCCATTATCACGCCAGTCGGTTAGCAGAACGCTCAGCAATCGAACAATGTATTTGGATGTGTGTCGATCGAAGACAGGGATAGCGGCAGCGAAACGAAGGTTTGTAGTACACTCGAAACGCAAAATCACCCATGAAAAGCACTCCAAAGTGTGTACTGCAATCAGCAGCAATCCATTTACTCTATTACAGCTAGCAAGAATGTTGGATAATGTGTTGAGATTTATGCCGACAATTTCCGGGCAAATCGGCCCATGTTCAATCCATTCGGCTTGGCGTTTTTCGTGCGATTGAGATGTTTTGTGATGGCTCGAGCGGTTTCACGAATTGATATGTGGTCGACTGCAGGATTGAAGTGCACTGAATTCTTAATCAGGACATCGCAAAATTGTCAGAGGGCTCTGTAATCATTCCAAAGCATTCGATTTTATTTTGGTAACAAAAGCGGGAAATTGCGAAACGAATTCACCGTGTCGTCAGATGATTCATCTTCCTCGTCGTCTTCTAAATGAAAAAATGCTGTCAATTATGTTATCATCTATTGGGCCTCAAATCTGGAATCGAGATGCTCTGCATTTCGATCGATGAATTCATGCACGGAGCCTTTTTATCGGTATAAAAGTTTCGCTTTTTCTCCGATATCGTAAAGTTATCGCACAAATGGATGCTGACGAAAACGTTTTAGCTGAAAGGAAGTATTTAGACTACCACATCCTTGTGCGGCGTCGCCTGATGTCTTCAATTTCGATGAGACCAGCCTCTTCTTCCGCATGCTGCCCAGCCAGTCTCTCGCAACTAGCAAGATTCGTCGGACCAGGAAAGACAAGGCGCGTATTACTGTCGGTCTGTGCTGCAGTATGGCAGGTACATGAAGATAGACCCCGTCGTCACCCACAGAAACAAAAAGCTTTGCTGATTTCGGAGAATGGACAAAGAGCACCGTGGCATTCAGCTGTATGCGATCAAGAAGTCATGGATGACACGCGTCGTCTTCTTGGAATGTCTCCATCGCTTCAATTTCAAAATGCACAGCCAAAAATGCTGCTGTTGGTAGACAACGCGTTGTCCTTCGAAAGCATTGAGTTCGCCAGCGTCCGTGTGTGCTTTCTCCTGCCCAACACGACATCTTTTTTGCAGCCACTCAACGCTGGTAACATCACGAGCTTCGAGGGAACGTACAAGAAGCTTCTTGGATGCTGGGTGCTTGAACAGCTCGAGGCCGACGGCAACATCTTGCGCACAGACATTTCGATAGCCATGTTATCCATTGATGTATGGGATGGTGTCAATGAGAACACCATTCGGAGCTGTTGGCGCCGTACGGGCATCGTGCCAGCACATATGACTGCCCTGCTCAAATGATTTAACGCCTGTGTCGATGCCGATGATCTCCCCGAACTCTGCGCTCTCATTCACAATCTTGACCTCGCTGACCCGCTCGACGCTAACGTCTACATCGACATTGAAGGCAACTTACATAGAGCCACGTGGATACCACCCCGCCGACTTGTGATGTAGAGGGCGATGCTACCGGTGAGGATAATGATGGAAAGGATGAACGGGTCTTCTCCAACCGCGAAGGTCTAGTCGAACCCCAACACCTCGCGGTCTACGCATTCACGCATGGTCATAGTGGGCAGACATCGCTGTGGTCATGGCGCATGCGAGAGATGCTGCAGACGAAATTGAAGCAACCAGAGATTTCATTATTTTCCACTGCGGAGAGTATGGAGGAAGTGGTGTAATAAGTCTTTCACCCCTAGACTCACAAGGTCGTATTTGCTGGGTTACTGATCCAGCCTTCCACAAGGTACCACCCTCGGCTGAGCAACCAGCTGGCAGAGGTAACCTCGTGACTCTTACTTAAAGTAATGGCGTGAGCTGTACAAGCCGGTAACAATTGTACCGATTGGTGGCAAAGGATATGTTCTGTCAATTCTTATTAGTCGTAGGTGACTTCATTGTCGTGCAACGCCCAGAAAACTTCCGTAGGGATAATTTTTCAACCACAATTGGGGCGTTTGCCTGGATTAATGAGAACAAACTCAAATTCCTCAGACCAACTCCTGTTCCTAAATTCACAATTAGATCAGACTTAGCAGTACTATCCCATCTTGACAAAGTATCTAACTTAAAGGACAACGACACTCAGTCGCTTTGAATCGTGCGACAAAAATGTTCGTAGCAGACCCCGACGCACACCTCCAATAAAACGTCTCAACAGAACTACAATCTGGAATTACGACAAACATCCGCTTATTCCTATCTCAGAAAAAATACAATTCTGAGACCCTGCCACACGATAACAATTTTCTGTCTCTTCTACCAACTTAAGCTAATTAGCAATGTAGTTGCCAGCTAATTATAATCATCCGATGTCTTGCAACTAAATTGTTGCACATTTTTCCTTTCTAGCAAAGATACATTAATGAACTACCAAAACGATCTCAGTCTGAGCTACAGGACAGCCTATACCCCCGACTTTCAATTGATGGTGCTCCAGCCAATCCTATACGCTCACTATTCCTTCGCAAACGGCGATCCTAGAACAAACATATTACAGTACTCATCATCGGCTTAAGCTCTTAAACTTCTCTTCATCTGGTTGATCGGTATTTTTAATTACACTTGAGAAGTGATGGCATCATTCACACTGCAGTGAGGTCGTTGAGCGAGGGAGGCTCTGAGAGTGGCCGGTCAACACCCGCGGTTTGACTATCCAGCAGAAAGAACATGACCAAGCCTTTACTGACGCTTTTCCGCGCGGCCGAACAATACTTTGTGTGATCCGACCGCACCGGTACCCTTGCGACAAAAGACAGTTCACATCAGCTTTCGCTCCAGCCCAGTGATCTTCGCGACATTTGTCGCTCACACTCGTCACGCAACAAAATTAATTCAGAAGTCTCTTCGAGTGATACAAATATTAATCACTATCCGACATTGTTCATCAAATTCACACATCACTGCTGCGCGAGGAACTGCGTAAGAAATTTTTTTACAACCCCATCTGACCTTCGACGGGTGTCGTCTTTGGTAAGTTTTCGGGATAGTCTCCCACCCGCTTAACACTTTCGGAGACTACAGCTGCTCCTCAAACTAATCAAACAGTTCAATTTTGTTCTAGACCATCGATGTTATACTAGTAACTCACCTCACGCTGACCTTGCCCCGAGCAAGGCTAGCTTTATTCATTCCGTTTTATGTATAAAATTAGTATGGAGAATGGATTTCCCCCAGCGGACTGGTTTGTCTCCGGCTGCACCCAAAATCGAAATGGAGGCATTAAGCCTAAGTTAAGTCAGCCAGATAAATAGTAATGTCCAGAGTAGAAACTCAAGAAATTCAGTCAAAGGCTCACCTAGCATTCAGTATCTATCCATTCTCACTCTTCTACCCATACTATTCAAGGCGTATCTTCACTCCTGCCTTTTCTGGTAAGTGGTCGGCATCACGCTAGGGCGATCAATAAAAACGATCCCGCTCTTGGCAAGCACGCGTATTTTTTCTTGATATCGACTGCCTTAAAACTCTCTCGTTCTCGATGCATCTTCGTGTCGCTGCTGCTAATTACATCATCATTTTGGCTTGGTAAGAGCACCAGTGTACCTGCTGTGGTGCGTTGTCTGTAAAATTTTTGCGCTGGTCGGGGACAGTTCCGTCGCTGTGTCTTTAACAGAGATCATCTTCAATCCTGCAACACCCCCTCCGGATTCCATTGAGGTAATTCTCTCAGAAGAAAGAGATCAATCCGGCATAGTATTTTAATTGGATGCTAAATCGAGATCCATTAACATTAAGGTCGACGAAAGACTAGTGCTCACCAAGCTTCTCAGCTGGAGTCGCGTTTCTTTGCCATTTTTATTTTTCGGTCTTTTGATCTCAAGATCTAAAAGGTGCTTTATCCGTAACTTCTTTTTAAGTACTCATTAGGTTGTAGATTATTGTTTTCTCTTTATAGTGTATACTCTAAGCCAAGTACAATTGAGCAGATATCTCGCTCAAATAGCTAATAATGAGAAAAAACACCATTCCTATGGCGCGTATGACCTGGTAAGGCGCGATCGTTCATGACCGCTGAATATGGCTCATCTAGCAGACAAGCTGCAGCGGGGCTGCCGCAGCTTTGCGCTTTGAGAAAGCGTAAGCTAGGTCACCGATCTTCGTTCTATACTTAGAGCAAGTACGACTTTAGCGGATCGCAATCCGCTAACTGCAATAGTAATTATTGCCTTACCCAAGGCTGATTAACTGTTCCGTTTAAATCCAAAACTGACTTTATTTATTTTTATCTGCGGTAAATGCATATATTTTCCAAAATATGTATAGTAAATCTAAATACATGTATATCTACTGGCTGTCCAGCCCCGTACCGTATTATTGTTCGGTTGTGGCCACACCATGCCCATCCGGTGTGACGCACACACCTGTTACCAGGGTATGTGTAACCCCGTTACACAAGCAGTGCCTGCCGACCAGCTACTTCAACATTGACGTCAGCTCTAACGTCATATCGCACTAGCCGTGATCGAACTGAAGACACGCTGCACGTGACTGTGTATGACGTTTAAGGCAGCTCTTTGAGCAAAAATTATCCCATATTTTTATTTTTGAAGTCATCTACTTTGTACGTGGTACTTGCAATATTAGTTGATTGTCTCCATACTAAAATTTAGCTTGGAACACGACGTCACGTAATCGGATTGAGTAAAATCAAAGCTCAAGACATTTGATAATTTTAAATTAGGCACACATATGCTGGTTCCGACTGTTTCGAGTAGTGTTCCGCAACCACAACTACGCTCGTTAACCACTGTATTCTGCTACACGTACTTCATTGTCATCGTTCGTCTCCTAGCAGAGACGTCAGCGTTAAAACTCCAGAGTTGGGGATAGCTGCTGTAGAGCACAATTGCCAATTAACTACAGAGTTAGCATTCTGACTATGTTAAGATGCTGATATATCAATCATCTCGAAGTCTGCTTTCCAATGAAACCTAGTAACGTGATCAACAAGTTCTTGTAGCTCAGCGAATACCATCAGGTATTCATTTCATCAAAGCCGCTATTGATGCTACATTTTTGTCCGAGACAGTGCGCTCCTCAATTCACTCTATCAAGCAGAAAAAATGAACTGTGCCCACTTGAGTACATATTGTTGTAAATAAAGGTAACTCTGAAGAATGATTGATTCACCGATCATGCGAAATCTTGATTGCCGTTACTGAATACACCACCTTATACGTCTGAATGAATTAAGCAAAACCAGCACACGATTGTTGCAAAAAATTGTATCGATCCAGACATCTTCACTGTGCTGTCGCTACTCAGTGTCACATTTCTCATCATCTAGCTCGGACGAAAAGTCGTTATTTCTCTTGCCAAAATATGATTTTCCGCTTGTAAATACTTACTTAATTCTAAAACTATTAATACCAAAAATTTATTCGCTTAAGCAGACAATTAGGCAATAAGGACTTATTACAGACATTCCCTCGTTCAGATTTTGTAAGACTGAGTAGCTCTGGCGTCATTTTGAGAGTCGAGGGACCCCTAGTTCCTCAAACAAAAACTTAGTTTCCCAAGGTTTATCATCCTACTTCAACATACGTTTTCCTCGGCTTTGAATGATGGCAGTTATGGCAGTCATGTCAGAAAAAAAGTGAAGGCTTACAATAGCTATGTCTGCGCGCAGCAAATATCTTTGCCAATACAACCTGTGTGTGGCTACGTCCCGCAAAACTCTTATACTTTTGAGAAATCGAAGAGTGATTGAAAAACAAAGATTACTCTATTTTAATAGTGCTTTTTCTTAAAACCAGAGCAAGAATTCGCAACAACAACACCTCACCGATAACGTTTTTGATTTAACATAATTGCAATGTATCATATTGCTGCTTCTGCAATTCAATTGGTAGGCACAGATTGTTAAAGCCTTAATCAGAGAATTTGCACCTCGGCACCGTTAAGCGTATAATTTGCTGCACGTCTATGATAACCATCAAATTACTATGTAATGCCGTCCATCATGACAGCAGTTGTTATACCTTGGATGCTGATCTACAGATTCTGAACATTACATAGCTACTGTATACCGTTTGTTTGCCTCACTCGGTGCCATGCTGCAAAAGATTTTTTTGTGTATCTGTAAAACAAAAATAAAGGTTCTGATCGTTTTCTGATGAAGATCATACAACTTTTAGACGAGCAAAGATATTCAGATCACTATGTAACTAGACAAGCTTACTATCGTCGTCCCAGATGGATAGGCGTACTTAAGGTAAATGCACCAGAAGCAAAGTACTCGCCTGAAGGCATTCACGAGCTACAAGAAGGCGCAGGTGTGATTGCTACAATCGGGTAGTCTAGTGACACTCACCATGAGACGCAACTACTGACTGAGCGTTCATCTTTTGAGGGAATGAGCATAAAATTTTGTCAGCATCAAAGACGATAAGACGGCCATGAGTCCTGGCTACACTCAAGACGAAGCAACTGCGCGTCGTGCTTTGGTTGCTTAGTCAATGGATCGCGCTAGAATAGCCACTCTATGCAGTATATATGTAGAAGAGAAATCTAACGTGTAAATCTTCGAAGCGACTCATGCTGGGGATTTTCAGTTCGTCCAGACAATTTTTGAACATGTGCGGCTCGTACTTGAACTTTCTACACTCACCATTTTGAGGAAACAGTAACGGCCGAATGAAATGCGTGTACCTTCGTGCCGCAAATCCCGATGGAGTATCGTAGGTGAAAGCATATAAGCGCATCAGAGGCGGAACTCAGCATTGTTGTGGAGGAAAAGAGAGACCTCTTGGTTGTCGAGCAACTTTGCGGTACTCGAAGATAGTAAATCTGCGCATAGCGTGCCCCATTTTTCCTTCGGATACGGGATACGAAGAATCGAACTCTCACGCAGCTTAGACCGACAAATTTCACACGAGAAGACGCCCGTCTTAGTAGTCGCAGTGCAGTAAACTGGGGAATGTCTTGGTGTATCGTACATTATGAAGGTCGACCAGGTCCTTAAGGGGACAAATCGTGACAAGATAGCTGAGATTCACAGCTCAGGATTGTTGTTCGTCAACGTTTCCATTATTGTGGTACCGAATTCCTAAACGATCAAGGAGGGTCGTGCTATAATGTACGACGCGCGACAGTAATAAACAATAGATCGGGCGCTGTGGCATTGAAGATTTTGAATACGGATATGATATCCGTGTTTCTATTGGCGCGGCATGTCGAATATTTAGTTGAAACTTTGAGGAATTTGACAGCGTGAATCGCTGTCTCGTGCGTCGCGTCTCATTTTGAAAAAGCTTGATATATGACCTCTTCCTAGGCATGGATGGTGATCGTAAATCGCCGTCTCCAGGGTATATCTTTGCTGTGACAGGAATGGGTAACAGAGAGCCCTTGGTATCCGGGATCTGTTCATGAAGGGATTGATCATAGTGGTGTGCAAGTGTATCATGTTCCAGAGCCGATAAAAATCGACTTTGTGTCGCAGTTTTGTTGAGACGGGTGACCGTAAGTCGCAGATAATAGATTTGGGCTTTAGAATAGTAAGGATGTCACAGCCTGGAACGGTACTTTTGAGACAGCACTACCGTAGGCGCCAGCAGTGAGGCACCACGAATTTGACAAGAAACAATTTCACTGTAGTGTATAAAACAACTGGAGAGGCCCCATGGACTTACTGTTTTCATCCCTACCTCTCACAGAGGCTATCATTGCATCTATTATATTATACCTGGGTGCCTTTTGCACAGAATGCAAATTTGCAAAGACATCAAAATGGTACGACCGACACCGAAACTCAACAGTCGATAGAGATGAACCGTCGTTGATAACACTAACAGGGCACCGAAAGCAAGGAGCAAATCGGCAATCCTTATAAATTTTACGAATCTTTTAAGCCATTTTTGCTGAAGGAATTTTTCGCCATAATGAAAAAGGACCCACCACTCGTGTCACCCATGGCTTGATGAGCGCGTCAAGATTTTGACTGTGATTTGGCATCATAGTCGGTTTATTTCGTATGAAGCAAGAAGCGAGTTTGGCAAGAAAAAGTGGCGTTTTTCACTTGGCGCTGAATTTCTGTGTCAAAATGCTAACGGTAAGTAACAAAGATTGTGCATAATTATAATAAGACAATTGCAGCCACAAATCCGGCGAAAACAACTAAATGCAAAAACTATTGCAGAAATGCAGCAGACTGCCATAGCTCTTTGCTCAGAGGAAGCTAAACCTAACGTTATATACTAAAACCAGTATGAGTATAGTGGATCGCTATGCGCTAACTACAAGATTACTCAAAACCTTAATCCAGGGCAAATGTACTCTTTCGTTCAAAATCCAGACTGAATTTCTTTAGTTTTATTTGCGACAAAGCCGCCAATATTTAAATCTATAGTTTTCCTAATTGAATAGTAAAACCTGATCAAAATGCATAACTACTGGCAATCCCGCCACGTAGTAACTTCATTTTAAGGTGAAGTCACACCATGGTGCGCTCACACCGTCTTGTGTGAGCCACCTCTTTATACCAGGGTACGTGTAGTCCCGTTACATTCTCGCCAATCAAAATTGTGAATACCCACAATTCAAATTTAACTGTCGCCTCGTACGAGGCTCGCGTGTCTAAGAAACCTTAATGTCCTCAGGACCTTCTTCACGTATTCTCTGCTCTATGAGCCCTATGTCTATGACACGAAAAACATCCAGCCTCACTGGTTTCGAGAGCGCCCGCGGGCAGAGATCTTATTCGTCTTCTGCACGTGAAGCAACTCCAGGCAGTACACCCGCGGTTTCACGTGAAGCACATTCCAAGCTCTCGGCAACCGGGCGCCGCACACCGCGCCCCGCCACGTGCGACGGATTTTCTCGTCGAGAATTTGGAGGAAATCGACTGCGAGCCGGGTAGCATGGGAACGCGAGGAGAATGAGATGCGGCAACGGCGCGACGTGAGCCTAGCTTGAATCTTTAAGACACTGTGTCCGCTCCCCGACCTCTTGACTTCCGGGGGAAATCGTATCATTACCAATTGCCTCAACGAGGCACAGGAGCAGCAGTTGAGGGCTGCCCACAGGGCGACTCTCATGCGCTCAAATGGACATTTGGTCCTAAACCCTCGTGTGAAATACGGCTTCCGCTCGGCGGATCTCGCTACTGAAGCGAAAGACGCGATAACTCGATCGTTAAGCGTCAACGCAGTCGGGCCCCCGGCCACTACACATGCTAAGCATGACCAGCGGAAGGCTTTCTGAGCTTACTCTTTGGTATCCCAAGAGATCCCACTGAATTGGTACCGCGCTCGACTTCAAGCTCAAAAAGTAAACGCTCCTGTATTCGTAATGTGGACAATTCCTGTGGCGCTCACCCCTCTCGAAACCGCTGCAGATGATGAGGAGCTATTTGAGCGATGGGTGCAGTGGCACCCGTAACTTTCCCGCTGCCTACCTTACAGCGGAGCCACAAGGAATCGAACGGGCGCGTAGATCCGCATCTTCGATTTGATTTTACCAAACTCAAGGCGCAAAGCCATCTTTCTGCGTATTTTTGATCTGCGACACATGTAATCATCCATCACGCTCCCCGAAGCTCTGTAGTTTCTCACATGGGTAAGTATACAACCACGCGAGGATGAACGAGCTTGTTTACATAGAACGGCGTGTAGCTGGTAGACGCATGCACCGCATTGTTCAAAGCGAGCTCCACATGTGGTAGCATGGCGCTCCAGCGCTTCGAACTTTCAGTGCTGACGCTGCGACGAACGTCTTAAACGACGCAATTCGCGCGCTTAGTCTGACCATTTGTCTGCGGATGGTCCGCTGTTGACATCCTTAACTTGGTGACCAGCGCTCTGATATTTTCGACAGAAACTTCCCAGAGAAATGTCGGTCTCTGTCAGAGATCAATTGGTTCCGGGAGTCCAAGCAGTCGTCCAACACGACCCACAAACAGCGTCGCTGTACTGTCACCGTCGATAGTGCCCGGTACCGCCGCAAGATAAGTCATCTTGCTAAAATGGTCGACAGAAACCACCAAACCCGCGTTGCCCGCCGAGTCTTTTGGCAGGCCAAATGCAAAGTCCATACTCATGGACTGGCAACACCCGAAGGATACCGCTAAACTGGCCAGCGGCGCCGCCGCATTCGAAACCGCAATTCGTGGCATTTCCGTTGAGTCGGTGCTATTATACAGCAACCTGTTATTCAACGAATATCGGTGCAATCGTGTGCGCAGTCGCGACGACAACTTCTTGTCCGAGTTTTCAAACTCCTTGCTCCCGAGGGCCTGTAGCAACGCTACACACATACCATTACCCGCGTATGCGGCGCGGATCAAATCCGTCACTGACGACG